ACTACATACACCACACACACACACACACACATATATAAACCAAACACTTTAAACTACATACACCACACACACACACATATATAAACCAAACACTTTAAACTACATACACCACACACACACACACAAACCAAACCAAAGCACTGCCAGTGAGTTGATTCCAACTCACAGCACCTTGGTAGCACAAGCAGAACTGCTCCCGTAGGGTTGTGTGAGAGTTAGGGTTGTGTCAGCTTGGCTGGACCTAGACTCTCAGTGGTTTGGTGTTAAAGAGGTAGTAATCTCCCCCATGATGAAATCTAATATGATGTAATTCACTGTCATGATGTGATCTCATATGATCGATCAGGCCTGGTGTGGTGCTCTAGGATAAAACTGAGGCGAAAGTTGCAAGTTCGGTAGTTCAAACCAACCAGTCAATCTTGCAAACCTTGTACAGGGTTGCCATGAGTTGGAACCAACTCAATTGCATTTAATCACAAGGACGTTACTGAGGCTGGAGACGATCTACGGGATCGGGTTAGATCTTGAGACAGTCTCTTTTGAGAAACAGGAGATTAAACAGGCATGCAGAGCTCACCGGGACTTGAGTGGAGAGCATCCTTTGGACCTGGGGTCCCTGAGCTGTGAAGCTCCCAGATCCAAAGACTGACAACCACACACAGAGATCGCCAAGGAATGCTGGGCCTTCCTCCAGAGGCTCCCTGTCCATATAAAGCACCCTCGGTGGCATTTCTGTTACGGTAGCACGAGAGAACGACGACAGGTCTCCAAGGCTGGAATCTGTATGGAAGACACTGACACATCTTTCTCCCATGGGGTGACTGGTGGCTTCACACCACCAACCTTTCAGCCGACTGCTTTAACCACTGTACCATGCAGTATATAAATGGTGTCGGTAAGTGCTGGGGACTCAGTTCTGACTCCCAGCCACCTTGTGTACGGTTTCTGAGGCTGTCAATGTTTGGAGCAGAAAGTCTCATCTTTCTCCTGCAGAGCATATGAACAGTAGCAGCAAAAAAAAAAAGTCGCTGGTTTTCAGTCTTTTCTCCTTACAATGTCTCTGGGTGTAGGGTAAATTCCAAGTTAAAAACCGTTTCTACTTTATAATGTTGCTGTTGATGTTGAAGTACTTGAGCAACTTTGTGTAGGTTTCCCAGGAGCGGCTGGTGTGTCACAACCGCTGAGCTTCAGTGCTTATCCGACAGTACCACACCAGAACTCCCTAAGTGTTCATCGCTGTTGTTGCGAGGTGCTGTGGAGTCGGTTCCAACTCATTGTGACTCTATGCACAACACTGCTGGCCCTGGGCCATCCTCACAGGTGCTGCTAGGCTTGTTCCTTGTTGCTGTCAAGTGCCATCGCATCAGTTATGACTCCTAGTGACCCTGTACAGGGTTTCCAAGGAGCGGCTGCTGGGTTTGAACCGTCGACCTTGCGGTTAGCAGTGCAGGACTGTCAAACTGTCACTTCAATTCCCATCACCAATGTGTGAGAGTGCTGCTGCTGCTCCCGATCCAAGCTAACAGCTTCAGGTGCCTCTCAATATGCCTGACAACGGATTTTATCCATTGTGTTTCTCACCTCTGCTGACCTAACAGGTGAAACGGCAGCGTATTAAATAACACAGAAACATTACAGCTTCTCCTAACTTTGAAAACCAGCTGTGCTCTTCCTTCAGAAGTACTTGCTAATTGTTGTGCATGTTTAGCTTTCTGTGGAATTCTCAATGATCTCCTGCCGTCTGTACTCAGTTTACAGTTACAGCCCGCAGGGCACCCTGGTGGTCAAAACTGCAGGCCTAGCCCTTGTTGCTGCTATTAGGGAAAACCTCAATCCAGTGGGTCTCAAAATGGACCTTTAAGGCTCTCCTTCACTCCTTGCAGCTATTCATCTGAACAGAAATGTCACAGACCACTTGTGGATGGAAATCTCTAGCCTCAGGGACAGAAGTTAGACTAATGACAAACCTAAGAAGCTGGAGAGTGTCTCCCCCTACTGGTTGGTCTCCAGCAATGCACTCCTCATTGATTCTGAGCTAAAGGTCAAATTCTTATGGTGGTAGACAAGTTACTTCTCAGACTGGAGTCTCGGATACATTCTAGAAGGTTCAAGGACGTCTCCATAAGACTTTGTGTTTTGCATTTTCATTTCTAAGGTTAAAAAAGCAGACTGGGATAGCAATATGAATGTAACCAAGTACACAACTTTAACACCCAAATGCTGTACACTCACCGAGTCACAGGCAGACCCAGAGGGAAAATAATGACTTCTTGATGGGAGCAGACCACTCCACCCAGGTAGACTTTTAAAATGAAAAAGCATGTATGTAGTCGCAGTGAGCACCAGAACTCAAAATGTACGCCTGAGCAGTCCAACCCAAACTGCGGCACCGTGGGTGGGAGCGGTACCTTGGTTTAAGCAAAAGATCTTTTGTCCCATCAAAGGAATGTTTTCCGTTTACGTTTCATGGGTATGATTTGTTCTATGTAACATTTCTCTTTTGACTTCAGGGCTGTCTGAGGGCTGTGAACGCAAGCCTAAGGCACTGACCTAGTTTATGACTGCAGAGATTTCAACAGCTCAGAGGGCCAATGCCACACTGGGAGCTAGAGCCATCAGCACCTGTGCCCACTAGCATCACGAGGAAAAACCAGTGACCATAACTCTCTAGGGGCTCCTGGGGTATCGCTGTAGGACTGGCACTGGACTGCGAACCACAAGGTCGGCAGTTCAAACCCACCAGCTGCTCCTTGGAAACCCTATACAGGGTCGCTATGAGTCGGAACCGACTCGATGGCACGTAACAACATAACTCTCCAGAGAAAGAGTAAGAAGTCAGCAAAGGTCTCCGTATGCACGGCTCCTCTCTGCTCCCTCTCATTCGTCTCATGCTGCTAGTGATGCAAGAGGCAGCCACGCTAAGAACCTGCCACTTGCTTCACTCTTAGGGCTTGTGGAAAAATGCTCATTTTTCTCCTACAAATCTGTGTTTCCCTATTTCCACAAGGGACCACAGTGGTACAACTGGGAGACAAGATGAAGTGAGGCTACAGGGCAGATGATATCCTTTAGGTTCGGAGGTGACACCTGGGCTGGAGTGAGAAGCCAGCCCCGCGCATCTCCCACGGGAGCCGGAGTAGGCATCCTGGCTGCTTTTCCTTCCTCAGAACCAGCTCTGCAGAGGAAAGGCTCTCACTGAATTCAACCAACATGTCAGAGAAACCAGACAACAGACACAACCAAGACACAAAGAGCAATGGAGAGAATGTCAGCCAGGGGGACAGGAAGATGTCATTCTGAAGAAAACTGTGCCAGCTCGCGGCCTCCACTTGACTGTCAAACCACTGAAGAGACATGACCAGCAGTTCTGACAGTGGTCTCGAGCTTGTGGCCTGGGCTGATGAAGGCACCGTCAGCTCGTGAAGAGCGGCATTAGTACCAACGAGTCCAACCGCTGCTGCTGCTGCTCTCCATCGTGACAAGGTGGGCTCGAACCACTGACGCTGCTGCTGCACAGATCAGTCCGACCTTCCTATAGCTTTCAGCTTTCTTCTTGTACCTTAGAGGCTTCAACCCCAAAATGCTGGTGCCATGGCCCAAGCCAGGTTCTCAAAAGAAACACAGTTTCTATACCTCTTCCTGGGGGAACACAAGGAGGCTCAAGATAACGTGTCCCAAAATGATGGCTTCTCTTTATATCCAACTTGGTGTCAAACGATCCTTCCCAATATTCTAATATGCCAGTTCCCCAGGAAGTGACAATCATCTCTGACTTTCTTTCATCTCTGAAGCCGGCCAGTCATTTAAAGACCCTCTGAGGAATGGACTCTGGGAGCTGGCCCAGGGACTGCAAACCCGAGCCCGCAGTGACTTACTATGTAATCTTCATCTTCATCCTTGGGGCCAGGACTGTAATACACTCTGAAAGCTCTGGCCACTTGATCAATCTCTTCTCTTGTGCCAGTCAAGCCAACCAGCTTGGGAGAAAATTCTAAACAAAAAAGGAGACAAATAACAAGAAATGAGATTCAAGCAAGACAACATTCCCTACACGTCCCCAAATAATACGAGTTACATGGCAGCTCTTCTGTAAACCGCCTTCTGTGAGGGCTGAGTGCATTCCCAGGACTGAAAAGGAAATAGAAACACAGAGAACAAGAGAAAAGTCTTCTTTGTGATATACAAGGGGGCTTCAAAAGGTTCACAGAATACCAAAATGAAAAGATAATAGAAGTTTTCCATGAACTTTTTGAAGCCTTTTGGTGTAAGTAAAATCGGGAATACATTCCAATTATTTAAATCACAATTTCAGTCCATTTAACTGTTTTTAAATACTCGTATGTGTGTGCCTGAGGGATGCTGAAGCTGGACGTATCACATGAGTTAGGCACGACAGTGCTCAGTCCACCATGAGGGAAAAGTCTGCTTCACAAGTGGCTCGTGTCAGGACAAGTTCTCTCATCTCATTTTCTAGCAGATTCTCACAATCCGGTATCCAGTTTAGGGGCAAGGGTGCAGACACAGTATGCACGTGCTGATAACTTTCTGAAACTTATATAAATGAGTTGAGAGAAATCACTTAAAACACCTGGATTCATCTGACTCTTAAAATGACAGCCTGTCTAAAAGCAGTACCTTTCCCCAAGGGCTTAGAAAGCCAAGAGAAAGTCCCTTGGACTAATTCACTCTAAATTGTTCAGATGCTAAAAAAGCAGGCAGGTTCGCCTTGTCACTTCCATTCTGTGAGTTCACAGGGAGAGAGGTGACCGCTGCATTAGCTGCATATCCAAACGTTTGCTTTCAATCCCAGAGTTCTGAAATGGCACTGTTTTTCTAAATAACAAGTCAAACATTTTTAACCCCCAATGCAACTAATAATAGTTACATCATTCATGTTATGTGTGTATATGCTATTGAAAAGAACAAAAACAAAACAAAAAAAACAGGAGGTAAAGATTCTATTATTTCAGTACAGCAACTCACAATTCTATTCTTTCGGGTATTTATGGTTTTCTTAATAGGGAGTAAGAAGAACAGGCAGTATCCATGTTCAAAATGCATATAGTTCATCACTCAGTGAGTTCACAGAAATCTGTTTTTTATTGCTCTAGGAAACAGCTATGTAACTGTAAACTGTGGACACAAATTCTGAAGGAAAAATAAGCCCTTGCAACCTGGGCTTAGGAGTCTTAGCTTTCTCAGATAGGAAACTGAAAACTGTCAACAAAAGAAAGAACAAACTGATAAACTGGATTTCTTTAAACTCAAAAACTGGTCTGCAAAGGATATTGAGAGACTGAAAAGACAAGCCACAAACTGGTAGAAAATACCCGATAAAGGGCTTACATTAAGAATACATAAAGAACTCTCAATAGCGACCCTGAATAGGGTTTCCGAGGAGCAACTGGTGAGCTTGAACTGCCGACCTTGCAGTTCAAATGACTTTGCAGTCCGTGCATTAGCCCACAGTGCCATACCAGGACTCCATTGTTGTTGTTAAGTGCTGACAAATCAGTTCCGACTCATGACCCTGTTGTATAGGGTTTCTGAGGAGCAGCTGGTAGGTTTAAACCACTGACTTTGCGGTTCAAAGCAACCTTGCAGTCTAGTCGAGTGATTTATCCTACAGTGTCATACCAGGACTCCATATTGATGGATTGCAAGGTTGATTTGAATTGCAAGATCAGCTTGAACCATAAGGTCGGTGGTTCAAGCTCACTAGCTGCTCCTCGGAAACTCTATACAGGGTCACTATGAGTTGGAACTGACTCGACAGCACTTAACAATAATTACATGATAAAGTCACTTAATAATAGTTAACGTAACCAAGAGCAATGAGTGTGTGCCCACATGGACTTGGACATGAATGCTCTTAACAGATTTCTAATAGTCAAAAACTGGGATAAATGTCCAGCAATATAAATATTAGTCAGTTAAAAAAAAAAGAATGAACTATCCCTCCATGCTACAACATGAATAATTCTCAGGGCAATTATGGTGAATTTAAAAAGGCATAAAAGAGTATATACTATATCATTTATATACTTTTAGAAAATGCAAACTATCATATATATTAAGTCAAAGTAACATACAAATTAACATGAGCAAATTATACATAAGCAAATTAACATACAAAGCAGATGACTGGTTGCCTGGTGAAGGGAAGGAGGCACTAACCAGGGAAGGAGGCAATTTTGTGGGGTGATGGGTATGCTCATTTTCTTGATTATGGTGATGTAAACGGTGTACCTGCACATCAAGATGTCATACTGCACACTTTAAACGTGTGTTGTTGTGGTCAGCTGCCATCGAGTCAGTGCTGACTCCTGGGGACTCTGTGTGTCCAGAGTAGAACTGTGTGCTCCATTGGGTTTTCAAGGTCGTGACCTTTCAGAAGCTGGGTGGGTTCAAACTACCCACCTTTCAGCTAATAGTTAAGCACCTAACTGTTTGTGCCACCCAGGGACCCTTAAATATGTGTGCTTTATTGCATGCCAATTATATACCTCAATAAAGCTGTCAAATTAATAAAATACATAGGATATTCTTCACCAAACAAATTTTAATGTAATCTAAGTTTCAGGATATGCATTAGAATGTGTAATATATAATAAGCATAAATAAAAATATATGCATTCGTCCTTCTAACCTGCAGCTTAAGTCACCAAAATTAAAATTAAAGTTCCTGATTTTAAGCACCTTCATCCCAGACACTATTAGAACAACAAAAAATCTGTTTGATCAGATTTTTAATCACATTTCTCAGTTAAAGAAACTTGTTCCATAACCACTGAATAACTTAACCTAAGCACACAGCTGAATTAGAACCTAGGTATTCAACCTCAATCCTATTAAAACTGTTGTTATAAGTGACTTCTAATAATTTTTACAGATTCTTGGTGTGGCACTGTAGAATCAGCACTAGACTGCGAACCATAAGGTCATCAGTTCAAACCCACCCGTCACTCCCCAGAAACCCTACATAGGATTGCTATATGTCGGAACCAACTCAACAAAACTTATCAACAATAGGTTTTAACCTATGGGCTGATATGCTTAAATTGAAACTCTGTCCATGAAACTAACAAATGTCTTCCTGTAATAACAAATATTTTGCATTTATAAAACACAAGTAACATGAGATGAAATGAGTTTAAGAATTCACCTTTAATCTCCCAGAGTGCACATTCTCAGAATGCAAGTTTGCCCTACTTTTAGAAAAGAAAGAATGAACTACAGAAGTGTGATATTCCCGATTCCAGGCTCTGGTACCTTTGTGGATATACGCAGGCCATATTTAAATCCCTCCTCTGGACCACAGTAAACAGAGCACCACATCACAAATTGAGAATCCTGTTTCTTTTTTTCAGGAAGAAATGAATAATTTAATTAATTAATTTTACAGAATCTGAGCCTCATCTGTTTATTCATCTATAAAACGAAGCAGGAATAATACTCTTTGTCCTGCCTACTTCACAAGGCATTTCAGGGGTTAACGGAATTGGTCTTTCAAAAGCTGAAAGAGCTAAATAAAGTATGGTTAATAAGACATACCTTTCACATAATTTGCAATGGCTTCTTTGGTGTCCCTTTCTGGGTCAATAGTGATGAAAAGTGGAGTTAGATTTGGCAGCGTTGGAATATTATCTGAAAGAAAGTTCTCATTAGTCAGTACTCCCATTCTAAGGCTGGAGACATAAATGGTACGTTAGGGACCTCTACCACTTAGGCAGCCTCTAGGAGGAACAGATGCAGATGTCATCTGCAGTGGAAGCAAGTAAGTATTTTATTTTAATTTTGTTATTTAAATTTTGTTTGCTTTTATTTTTATTCTTGCAAGTAAGTATTTTATTGTGCAAAGACTCACTACCCCTGACTATATCATGAGCATATTTCTCTCCCATTCAAATCCTAAGGTGCCCTATTAGCACAGTGGATTAAGTGCTGGACTGCTAACTGAAGTTAGTGGGGCTTCCAAGGGTGTAATCTTTACAGAAGCAGACTGCCTTATCTTTCTCCCAAAGAACCCCACGGAGCAGTTCTACACCATAATACAAGGTTGCTATGAGTCAGAATCAACTCAATGGCAGTGGATTTAGTTTTGGCTTTTATTCAATTTCAATACAAAGTTTGTGGACTCTACAGGATAAGCACTGGACTGCTAACTATAAGGTCGGTGGTTCAAACGTACGAGTTGCTCCTTCAGAAACCTATATAGGGTTGCTATGAGTCGGAACTGACTTGATAGCATGTAACAACAATACAGTGTTCACAGTAATCCATTTCCTTCCACTCCCTACCCTGCCCACCTCATTTCCAGGGGCAGGTTAACTATCAGTAAGAACTGAATACCCCAGAGCAATTCATTTAAAGAAGGCAGCCACCTGTCCTTCCAGGCCAATGTCTTCTGGAGATGACTGTGCTGAGAAACATCACTGACTACTTCGCCCTGGACACAGATTTCCCGGGACACAAAGGCAATGGCAGTGTTAGTGATGGGAAGCCTACAATCATGGAGACCCACACGGACATTTAACATGAAAACAAGCTTTCCTTGGTGAAGAATAAGGTTACAGGAATGAAAGTGATGCTGAGATTGGATGTTGTCACACAGCAAATTGTTACAGTAATCCCCTCAATAATACAGCAGCTTTGTGACAAATGTAGCATCATTAAGAATACTGCGAAAACAGTTTTTCATATTGATGATTTTCTTACCTATTTCATCCACAACTTGAATCATTTTTTCTAGTTCTTCCGGACAGACATCAGGGCAATGAGTGAAACCAAAATAAATCAGTACCCACTGGCCCAGGTAGTCCTTGTCAGTCTTTGGTTCTCCAATGTGGGTTGTGAGAGAAAATGGTCCTCCAAGTAAAGGCTTGCCTAGGGATCGCTGCCGTTCCTTCTCCAGTTCTTAAAATGACACACACACAGGTGATAGAACACAGTGAGTCACATACTAATGACCATGGGATAAACATCTTGAAGAAATAGTCTTTGTTTCCAAGTTTAAAAGATCTTTTAAGAAAAACAAACATGAAACAACAAAACAAAATCAAATTAAATGCTGTGAGACTTCAAGACTACTAGGAAGTTGTTCCTCGGGGAGAATTTCTCAGGTATGGCCATGCTGGGGTTTAAGGAAGGGGAGGAGTGGTCCAGAGCAGAATGTCTGAGGCCACGTGGTGTGAGGTGAGCAGCCCGAGTGTGCTGAGGAGGGCATCCGCTCGGGAGCGGGTACGGATAATGGGAGCTCTGTTATAAACAGCGAGACTCATCACTGAAGTAAATAACAAAGGAGCTTCAAAAATGTTGTGGAAAAAACCCATCATCTTTTAACTACATTTTAAAATAAACGATTTAAAAGGGGAAAGCAAAACATTATTAGTCCATAGCCAGGATTTTATTTAGAAGTAAACAGGTGGTATCTACTTACTTTCTGTCTTTTCTTTCTTGAAGTACTTCATTCCAGCCAATAAAGCTCCTCCAACAGCGAATGTGAGTGCTAAAGACTTCCAGGACACAGGCTACTGGTGCAGATTTCAAATATAAAAATACTGGTAAGGCGAAACTTGTAACCATACGAAGTGCTTTAGTTTTTAATACACACACACACAACCCTGATCTTATTGATGGTGCAGAGCCTTCCAGGTGACTGACTAGTGGATGGAAAATGCTGAACATTTCTGTGGATTCAATTACATGTGGACTCCTAAAAGATCATTATAAAGACATTCACTTACAGGGGGAAACTCCCTAAATCAGTTCTTTTCACATGAAAATCAACCCAAAGCTCAAATATCAAGACAGTAATGAGTGCTACTATCTGTGCTCCAAATGCTTGTGCTGATGTTGAGAACCTAAACAAACCAAGTATAATCAAGGGGACCCCAGGTGGTGCACATGGTTAAGCAATCTAATGCTAACAGAAAGGCTGGAGGTTTGAATCTACTAGGGAGTCCTGGTGTGGCGCTTTGGGCTAAGTGGTGGACTGCAAAGTTGGTTTGAAATACAAAGTTGG